GAGCATCTTACCCTCCAGAGTAGCCGCGTCTCACCCCTGCTTTTAGAGGGTGAAACTTAGAGATGAAGTCATTTCCCCAGTTAATGGTAAATAGAAATTCAACAAATGTACAAGAGCCTCACAAAGGCAGACCTGTGGGCCTTGGGTCAAAGGGCTTAGAAACGAATTGAGAAAGATGAAAGGGTCATGTAGGGCCAGTCGGGGTCAGAGGCTATCAGAAGTGGAGGTTTCTAGAGGCAGGAAGGAGCTCAGATCATTCTTGTCTAGTTCAAGCACCCTGTTCACCTCTTGATGCTGAAGATCAAGGAGCAGAGCGATTCTCCACAGGCCACGGGGTCGCGCAACTGTATCCCCACACAGTCAACGAGTATCCCTTCCCATCAGAGAAATGCATGTACCCATAAAAGCAAACAGATATCTCCATGTTCTGGAATTCTCAGAGCCTCTTAAGCCCCAGGCCTTGGTTTCTGGCTCTGTTTGCAGAGGCTGACCTGTTTGTTAAGCCAGCCGGCCTGCTGAGTGCATAGCAGAGTCCAGGGAAGGTTTACTCTGCCAGCAGGGCTTTGGGGGGCTAGAGTCATGCATCGCCTCAGGAGCGCCCCAGGACACATACTTTGTTCAGTGAACTTTCATCGAGCACATATGATGTGCCCAGCACACTGCCCGGCACTGGGTCTGAACCGCAGCCGTGGGCCCTGTGGGCAAGGTGCCCCCGCTGTGTCACGGCAGCCGGGCTGTGCTGTCACTGCTCTGTGTCATGAGCTCCAGAGCTCCACACAGCAGAGCGCAGGGTGCACTAGGATGATACAGGAGTAACACTGGGGGGTCTTTGGGTTCTGGGGGGTCATCTTCCCTTTAGGGTGACCCCAGTAATAATGAGGAGAGCTGTCCTCCCCAACCCGAAGAATGCAGGTGAAAGTTACAGTTGCATCTGGCTTCAGGGGAGGAGCCTAGATATAAAACACAGTTTGGAAGAAAAAAAAAAACACAGAGGCATCGAACACCCAGGAGGAGCTCAGAGAGGAAACAGAAGGGAAGCAGTGGCCGCCATCCTGTAGCCAGCTGGCCCAGCGCAGGTCTCGCCAGCATCGACGCCTGTCCACCCACATCCGTGAGCATCACCTGGCACTCACGCCTCCCTCCCAGCTCCCTGGGCACCCTGGGCCACCAGGTTTAACCAGAGGAGTCAGGTAATCGGGCACTAAAGGATCAGCTGCCAGAGCTGGGTGGAGCTTTAAAGAGTCCCAAAGCCAGCCTCCTCATTTGACTAGTGAGGCGCTCAGGCCCAGAGAGGTGCAGCAGCTTCCTCCAGGTCACACAGCAAAGGGGTGAAAGACAGAGAGACGGGCCCCCATGAGCAGAACTGAGCGCCGGCCTCACCCAGGGCCTTCTGAGAGGAGGCGGCCTCAGCTTTGTGCAGAGACTGCAGTCCGCTCCTGCTCCTCTAGTGAACGCGGGAGTCAACAGTTGCGTCCGGCTCTTTGCTGCCCCGTGGACTGCAGCCCACCAGGCCCCTCTGTCCATGGGATTCTCCAGGCAAGAGTACCGGAGTGGGTTGTCGTGCCCTCCTCCAGGAGATCTTCCCGACCCAGGAATCGAACCCGGGTCTTCATTGCAGGCATATTCTTTACCAGCTGAGCCTCCAGGGAAGCTGTGCTCCGCTAAGTACCACCCAACCGAAGATCGTGCCTCTGTCCTGCAGCAGGCTAGAGAGAGATTCCTTTTGTCCCCCTGGGGCCTTTATCAATGTCAGCCCAATGTGTTTTTGTTCAGGTTGGCCTGAGCCCGCTATTAAAATGCTCGGATTTCCAGGGCCCCCTTCTGGGTCAGATCGTGCCCATGTGGCCCTGGACTTAGCCACCACTGCTGGCCGGAAATGTGCTGAGTTCCAGAAGGATGTGGCTGAATGGTTTTAAGATGTGATGGGATTTCGGCCTTAAGGGTTTTTATCATTATCGGCACGCGCTGGCGCTGGCGCGTGGAGGCAGAGGGCACCTCTGTGCTGTCGCCGTAGGCCCAGGCACCTGAGGGGGTGCAGGACACCTGGGTGGTCTGTAGGGACCCGGGCCCCAGCTTTTGTTTTCCGTGAGCTTATAACTTAGCTGAGCAAATAGCACAAGTGCGTACAAGTGGACAGCACCCCGTTTTTCAAGGATGCTTGTCCCACGAAGGGACCCCGGAGGTTGAGTGGATCAGAGGAAGCCTCATGGAGCAGGAGGACGTGATGGAGCCGCACTTTGTGGGCGCCAGCTGTAGGGAGGGGGCCTCCAGCCTGGGTGGCGAGGCACGGCTACAGGCAAGGGGGCGGAAGGCTCCGAGGCAGAGGGGTCCAGGGTGGCCTGGCTGGCCAGCGAAGTCCTAGAAGAGGCAACAGTAAGTCTGCAGCGGTGGGCGGGGGTGGGGGGGAGTGGGTAGGGGGTCCAGCTAGGAAGGACAAGGAACGTCAAGCTGGTCCCGCTGAATTCTGTCCTTCAGAAAGAGGAAAGCACTGAAAAAGTCCAAGCAGAAGAATGTCATGACGGTGCAGCATTTCAGCAAGATTAATCGTACCAGACACGTGGAGCCAGTTAAGACACCAGTGAAGGAGTCTTGGGCTTCCAAGGTGGAGCTCAAAGGAATGGCTGAGTCGGGGAACAAGAGGGGAGGGTGACCTGGCCTGTGGTCCCCCCGACACCTCCTCCTTCCCTCCCGGGGTGACCACAGTGCCAAAGCCAACACTGGCGTGGATCGGGTTGGCCAAGAAGCTCAGTCACATTTCCCATACCAGCTTACAGAGACCCGAACAAACTTTCTGGTCAGCGCAATACATTTTTTCCCCCCTTCTCAATCGTAACTACTCTTTCCCACTACTCTTGGCACGCTTCTGCCCCAGCCACCTCAACCTGGGGGTGAACTCAGAATGTCTAAGGAAGGAGGCGGCCTGGGAACACCTCCACTGCTGGAGGGCTTGGGGTTCCCTGTGATAGCAGCTGCCTTCCACGCTGGGAACGTGAGAGGCCAGCTGGTCTGTGACCGTCGGCCTCCACCCCGAGCCACCGAATTCCCTGCATCCCATCTTCCCCCTCCACTCTCAGGCATGACACGCGGACTCATCAAAACAGAGGCCTTTGCTGCAGGGAACATAAGCTTCTTAAAGTGCCGTGTGCCCTATTTTATGCAACCAAATAGCTAACAGTAAGAGGGTAAAATGCGTATATAGTCCTTTCAAAGTTCCAGGCTGACGTGCTATCAATAGGCTGAACAAGATGAAATGAGGTCAGATTCGCTGCTTTGTAAGAGTCTTAGAGCAAACTCTGAATACTGGATCCTTGTATCAGAAACTGACGAGTTACTCGCCAGGTGGAAGTTTGTCCTGTTACTTCTCTGCCCTCCGTTGGCAACAAAACCCGCCTTAGTACCTGCGCTCTACCACTCAGGGCTAGGCTAGCTGTGCGTCCTGAAAGGTCGCTGGGATGCAGCCGTGTAATTGTAGAGGATTCTTAAACTCAAGGTGGTGTCATCCAGTCTCCTAAGTCGTGTCCGACTCTCTGCACCCCCACGGGCTGCAGCATGCCAGGCTTCCCTGTCCTTCACTATCTCCTGGAGTGTGCTGAAATTCACATCCATTGTATCAGTGATGCTATCTAACCGTCTCATCCTCTGTCACCCCTTCTCCTCCTGACCTCAGTCTTTCCCAGCACTGGGATCTTTTCCAATGAATCAGATCTTCATATCAGGTGGTCAAAGTATCGGAGCTTCAGCATCAGTCCTTGCAGTGAATATTCAGGGTTGATTTCCTTCAGAATTGACTGGTGGGTTGCCATTAAGAGCTCAGAGACCACAGACTCATTGATTCTTGTAGATATTAATGTTTAGTTGGGCTAAAAACACACTTGACTGTTTGAAAGTGTGTGTAACTGCAGAGGGTTTGAAATGCCCGTGTGTATGGGCTTCAGTCCACTGCAGAAGACTTTAAACGTCCCTCCCTCCAGGATTAACTGTAGTGTGTCCCCTTCGTGGTGATACAGCACTGTCTGTTCTGATGTTTGTTGTGACTCGAATGGAAAAGCACAGTGAAGTCGGGGGTAACTGGGTTAAGTGCCCTGGCTGCCCAGACCCCCGAGTTGGTGGTGCCTTATTTGGCCATTACATCCTAGAGCGCTGGTCCTGTGTGGAGGAAGTCCAGCCCTCAGACACCACGGGGTGACGCACTGTCAGGAGCTCGAGCATGCTGAGCTGGCTCCCAGCAGACAGATACCCACGTTTCTATCTGCCCCATTCCGGTCCTGCAGGTGCATCCGCACGCGACCGCAGGACCTGATGGGATGGGAGCAGGCGGCTCTGAAGGCCCCGCGGCACCGGGCAGATGCAGGGCGTCGCCTGCACTTGGCCCTGGAGGGTGGCCTGTGCGCCTCTTTTCCTGGGCTTCATTTCTGATCCACGTTTCTTCTGTTCAGTTCAGTGACCAGTTATGGTCACCTCACTTGTCTTCAGGTTCACGGTCAGCATGGATGCCTTTCCTCATCCTCCAAAGTGCCTCTAAACATTCTGCCTGGGTTCTTTGTTTGGTTAGTTTTTCCCATTAACTGCCATAGCTTGGAAACCTAATTTCCCCAAGGGCTCCACCATATGCAACACAAAGATAGTTCGTTAGGTGACAGCTAGCTAGCTAGACAGAAGGATGGATGGATAGGTAGATGATGGAGACAGATGATGATAGATAATAGATGACATAGGTACATAAATAGGTACATAAATGGACAGATCTATAAATAGATATATCTATTTACATTATATAGTATCTATATAGTGTATATATATAGTATATATATAGTATCTATATTATATTATAGATATTATTACTATTCAAAGACATTATCCTAACTGCACATGATTTAAATGTTCATTGACCTAAGAACTGTAGTAAGTAGCTCTTATCCGTGATGTCCACTATTAGAATCATCTGCCCTCAGGCCATTACTGGTCTAATCTTGTTTTAATTTTTTCTTTTCAGGTTAAGAATGTCCCATAAGAAATCGCAGCTTTGTTGCAGAGCCAATGTTTATACTCAAGTGCCTGACGGTGGATGGGGCTGGGTGGTGGCCGTTTCTTTCTTCTTCGTGGAAGTCTTCACCTACGGCATCATCAAGTCGTTCGGCGTCTTCTTCAGTGACTTAATGGACAGTTTCAGTGAGTCCAACAGCAGGATCTCGTGGGTCGTCTCCATCTGCGTGTTCGTCCTGACGTTCACAGGTTAGTGTGTGTCTCAGCTTCACGCCGTAGAGGCGTGTGTCTCGGCAATTTGCCTAATTAGCTAAGCGAGGCTGAGGAAGACGGTCTGCTTGCCAGACTTGACTGCCGTCAGTGCGAGGCACACGTGTCAAAGGCCTCCTGTGTGTGCTCTTAGGATCCTGTAGGGTATCCTGAGAACAACAGTGAGCTCCAATTCGCTGGGGAGCTAGTCATTTCCTAAAGAAGAAACATCAAAAGGTCCTCGGCATCCCAAGCCCTGGTCTCTTAAAACCGAGGAAACAGGTGGAAACTGCAGGTGTGGCTACAGGCAGGAGAGAGATGGAATGTGTGCAAAGAGAGCATGAAGAATGACACGTGTTGTCCAGAGGGGATGTTCTGAATTCCAAACACCTCTTTCCCTAAAGGAGCTCGCTTCTGGACCCCCAAACCCAGCAGCATCAGGTACAATACATTGTTGTGTAATTCCTAACATACTCCCTTTCACTTCATCCCCTACAGACCTAGTAACACGACATAACTGTGAGGTCTCGTGATGGTTCATCCACCTGTCGGGGCCACAGCAGGCTTTCCTGAGCAAGGACGGCCACTGAACTTACCCCTGACAGTTAACGGAGCTGAATTCAGCTTCCCGAACTTTAGGTTCACATCCTGTCATGGAGCTGTTACCTCTGAAGTTTTCTGAAGTGTCATTTGCTCAGTCGTATCTGACTCTCTGGCCTGCCAGGCTCCTCTGTCCATGGGATTCTCCAGGCAAGAATACTGGAGTGGGCTGCCATTCCCTTCTCCAGGAGATCTTCCCGACACAGGGCTCAAACCCAGGTCTCCTGCATTGCAGGCAGATTCTCTGCCATCTGAGCGGCCAGGGGAGCCCGAGCGTGTCTAAGTGAACTGTTTTCTGCCCCGCACTGCCCGCACGAGGCAGCTCCACTGTTCTCTGCTGAAGTCAGACTTTCTCCCATTGGTCCCGACACTGTCTTCTACACATCTCATGGAAGCACTCCTAGTTCCACTGTGAAGATTAAGATAATTTCCTAATTGGCTGTTTATTTTCTTGGAAAGATAACTTACATGAACTAGAACCAAAATTTCACATTTGGTAACTGAAATAAGAAAATTCCAAAGTTGAACTTTTAGCCTTTTTCTAACCAAAGATAATATAGTCAACAAGAAATACCCAGTTAATACTATCATACCAAAGATCACTGTTCTTGTTTAACTGTAATTGATTCACTGACTCATTGACTTGGCCACGCTGGGTCTTAGTTGCAGCATGTGGGCTCTAGTTCCCTGACCAGGGATCGAACCAGGGCCCCCTGGGTTGCGAGTGCAATTTCTTAGCCTCTGACCTGCCAGGGACGTCCCAGGAGATAACTGTTCTAAATGCCGTTATGTTGTTGTTGTTCAGTCAGTAAGTCACAGCCAACTCTCTGCGACCCCATGGACTGCAGCAGGCCAGGGTTCTCTTTCTCTGTCCAACTCCCAGAGTCTACTCAAACTTATGTCCATCGAGTCCGTGATGCCATCCAACCATCTCATCCTCCGTCATCCGCTTCTCCTCCCGCCCTCAATCTTTCCCAGCATCAGGGTCTTTTCCAATGAGTTGGCTCTTCGCCTCAGGTGACCAAAGTATTGGAGTTTCAGTTTCAGTCCTTCCAATGAATATTCAGGGTTGATTTCCTTTAGGATGGACTGCTTTGATCTCCTCACTGTCCAAGGGAACTTTGATCTCCTCACTGTCCAAGGGACTCTCAAAAGTCTTCTCCAGAACCATAATTGGAAAGCTGAAAGCATCAGTTCTCCAGCGCTCAGGCTTCTTTATGGTCCAGCTCTCACATGTGTACACAACTCCTGGGAAAACCAAAGCTTTGACTAGACGGACTTACACAGAATGCTTTCATCCTGGTCGCTAATGTCTGAGTCTGCGCACTGCCTAAAAATGGCCCACGTGATTTCATTATTCACTATATTAACTAACATATGAGCTGATGCTCTACCAACGTTAAGAGATATGTTTGCCCAACCTCAGCAACACGGAGTCCTTTTTTGGTTGTTTTGCTCTTTCTGTCCAGCATGTGCCACATTGTTCTTCCTCCCTCCAACTCTGACGGGTCCCTTGTACTCGGGGTAGCAGTGGTAGGCTAAGTAACATACAACTAGGAAACTTATTTTCCAGACTTAAATGTCCTGGGGGACAGAGTGCGCAGAAGCTAGGCCAGCTGTAATGCATCAGCCACTTTGAATTATCCGTCCCACAGCCAGCCTGCTTCTGCTATGCATAACAGAACCCACCATACTTTCATGCTGTTTGCAAGAGTCAAGTGGAATTTGACCCTAAATGGAGCCGTGTTCAAAAGAATCCAAAGCAATGAGTATAGGAACAAAAAAGTGACATACAGCCATAGGAAATCTCATGTTTATTACAGAATAATATACATGTAATACATGTCCAGTTTCAGAGGGGCTCCTGGTGGGTCAGAGTCTGTCGTCTAAGAAGATGGATGTAAGTTTTAGACTGTGAATCTGGGTTTTTCTTTGAGGAGCCCCCAAAAGAGATTTGAGAGGATGGGATCTTAGGATGGACTTAAAGGCACAGAGAACAGACTTGGGGTTGCCAAGGCGGGAAAGAGGGAGTGTGGGGTAAGCCGGGGAAACAGGCGTGCACGGGACGGATGAAGAGCCAGGGCCTCCTGTACAGACAGGGACCTGTATTCAGGAGCCCGTGATAGAACTTCGTGGGGTGAACTCCCTGTGGTCCAGTGTTAGGACTCTGAGGCTTCACTGCCAGGGGCCTGGGTTCAATCCCTGGTGGGGAACTAAGATCCCACCAGCTGCAGTGCAGCCAAAAATTTGTGTAACTGATGAGTCACTTTGTTGCAAGTCAACTACACTTCAGTAACAAGTTAAAAAGACAGACTCCCGGGGAGGCTGAGGCTGATGCCTGGGAGCTGAGACCCCCCCGCCCCCCTCTGCAGCCCCCGTCTCCACGGTCCTGAGCAGCCGGTTTGGACACCGCCTGGTGGTGATGCTGGGCGGCCTGCTGGTCAGCGCGGGCATGGTGACGGCCGCCTTCTCGCAGAAGGTCTACCACATGTACATCGCCATTGGCGTCGTCTCTGGTGAGCGTCTCCCGGGCTGGTACCGTGTCCGGAGACTCGGTGTGGGGAAGGAGGGCCTTGGGTCCATCGCGTGTTTCCTCCCCCCGTCCTCTTTTCTCTCTAAAATGAAGGCTCGCCCACGTCTGTGCCTCTGAACGGGGCTCCTCTTCCCAACGCCCAGGACTTTCTGTCTGATGTTGTTTTAATATTTACCGATGAGAAAGAGAACTTCTCTTTCGCAAGAGTTTGCAGGCACAAGACGTCCTTCTCACAAAATAAAGTTTGAATTTCTTTTTTTTTTTAGGTTTGAATTTCTTTAACCAGCATTTCCCAAGTCTGGCTGTGAGAAGTCTGAGCTGTAGGGGAGGGGCCAGTGCTGGACTGAGGGATCTGAGAAAACTTTTTCCTTTTTAAAGGAGTCTGTACAGAAGTCACAGATTATATATATATATATGTATACACACACACACACACGTAACTGTATATATAACTATATATAAAAAACTCCATAACACTATATATAACTCTCTATAACTATGTATATATAAAACTCTCTATATATGTGTAACTCTGTATGTAACTATATATATATAACTAAATACACACATACATACATGTATATATTTGGAAAACTTTTTCCCTTTCACAGGAGCCCACATATTACTCACAGATTATGTATAATTATCCCTGTATATATACATATGGGCTTCCCCAGTGGCTTAGTAGTAAACAATCTGCCTGAGTGCAGGAGACACCAGAGACACAGGTTTGATCCCTGGGTTGGGGAGATCCCCTGGAGAAGGAAACGGCAACCCACTCCAGTATTCTTGCCTGGGAAATCCCACGGACAGAGGCGCCTGGCAGGCTACAGTCTAAGGGGTTGAAAAGAGTCAGACCGAGTGACTGAACACACACATATATATATAACTATATATAATTCTCTCTATATAACTAAATACATGCACGTATATGTGGAAAACTTCCTTTTCAATGGAGTCCATACATTACTTAGATTACATATAACTATATATATATATGTACATAGTTAAGATTTGCAGACTTTTCCCATATATTTCTGCACATACAAAAACTTTATTTCCAAACAGAAGCCTTATGTAAAAACTATGTTTGATAAGGGTTCTGTGCATTGTGGATTATATAAATCTGGCAGGGGAACTGCAGAAAAGTAGGGAAAAAAAAAAAATCCCACGAAACAGATTTTTTTGTTCCTTTCTTTTTTTTACAACAAGTTTCCCAAAACAGCTCTTGCAGTTTTTCCAGACCTCTGATGAAACCTGCTTTTCTTTGCTCCAGAATGAATGTCTGGGCTCCCTGAATGTAATCATTTCTAAAATAAGCGCCCAAATCCCAGCTCTTTGAACGCACGCTTCGGGCATCAGCCGGCATGTGGTTCTCACTGTCCTGTCGATGTCCCATCACAGGCCTGGGGTTCTGCTTCAGCTTTCTGCCGACTGTCACCATCCTGTCTCAGTACTTTGACAAGAGGCGCTCCGTGGTCACGGCAGTTGCTTCTACGGGAGAATGTTTCGCTATGTTTGCCTTTGCACCAGGTAAGCGGACGACCAGAGTGTGCGTGTCCATGTGAGCTGGCTCTTCTTGCTCTAGATCGGGCAGAAGGCTGTGTCTTCTCTAGTCAGGCACCTTTTCAGGATCTATCCTCCCTTACTCCCATTTTAGGAGTTCAAACATTTTAATACTCATCCAAGTTTACATAAATAGGAAGCTCTGTGTGTGTGTGCATGTGTGTGCATGCACATGTGTGTGCTCAGTCACCCTGTCGTGTCCAACTCCTTGCAACCCCATAGGAAGATACACAGCATATATTCAGTGAGGAAGCTTGAATATTCAGCGAGGAAGCTTGAACCATCCATTCCAAAATAGATTTGGGGACTGCTCATACTGTTCTATTTCTCTCCTTGGTCAAAAGAGCCATATTCAGTGCAGATTTAAATTGTGCTGGTAAAGTCGGGTTCATTAGCTGTGTGTGGATGATCTCACGGGGAATCCCCTGGTTTATTTCCCTGTCTCACTGTGAATTTGTGAATCTCACTAACCAGTGGCAGAGAAATCACCTTGGAGACCTGGATTCGCCTCTGTTCTTTGGTGAATGTGTCCGTGAGTGGCGGTGGAATTCAAAGGAGATGTAGCATTTTGGGGTGACACGTCACGTCTGAAGCTTTTCAGATAGTTCAGAAGAATTAATGTATGCGTGCCTGTAAATATGCAGACAGAAAACTGTTCATTGTTGAATTTCGGTGATGGCAGGCATATGGGTGTCACTCTCTGCACTTTTCTGTTGGTTTGAAATGTTTCAGAATAAAACCTTGAGGGGACAGTCAGTGGCCTGCGAACCCCCTGAAGGTGGTAACTGCATCTGGGTCGGCTTTACTCCATAGCTCATCCCTGGCTATGGATGGAGAAAAGGAAACCAGTTATTGCCAGAGGAGGGTCAAAAGCACTTGAAAATACCCAAGCCTGAAAGTTTGCAATTCTGAGTTTTCCATATTAACAGGGGAAAGAGGTGGGAGCAAAAAAATGCTGAAGAAGTAAATGGAGCCTGGAGCCCCCTGGCCCGGAAGACGGGACTGTCTTGCTAAGCCCATCTTCTTCGTTACCGCATCTCTTAAACCTGACTGTCAGTTCTCACAGAGTGAGAATCAAGTAAAGCAAAATTCTCAGAAACATCATTTCACCTTCTGGGATGATGATGAAGATACTTGGAATCTCGTGGGGCCTGTTTATCCTCTAGTCACTGGGGAGCTTGAAGCCTCCTTCGGCCTGACTCCCCCTCCCCATGCCAGGGTCCCCCCCTGGCCTCCAGGGTGCCTCTAGGCTGGCAGGAAGGTAGGCAGAGCATCCCGCAGACTAGAAAGCGGAGAACGGCATCAACACAGCTGCTGACAGCCCTGTACCGTGTTCACACAGTAACTGTGAGTTCCGGGATAATCCTATGAGCTTTCCGATTCTTAGTTGACTTTCTCCTTCGTCTGTTACTGCTGAGAGCTGAAGGAGTGGCTGAAGAAGGATCCAGCTCAAAGGGTGGAAGTTCTGTTTTGAAAAGACCAGAGAGTCAGTATTCCAGGCTTCCCGGACACAAGTCCTTGTCACCTCTGTGGGCACGGCACAGGGCGTCTCAGACGCTGCTGAAGAATGCTCCCAGCTGTGTTCTGGTCGAGGTCTGTGATCCAAGACGGGCCAGGGGCTGGGGCCAGCCCGCTTTCCGTGCACCCTGATGTGGGCCACAAGCTTTGTTCATTTCTTGTGCCCCTGCTTGGAGGAAGGCACCCCCAAAGCTCCCTTGGAAGCCTGGGCTGAAGATGTTTGTTCCGTCTTGTCCTGATTCATCATCCCCCTCCTCGAGTCCTAGAAGCCCCCAGGGATAAAGCATGTCAGGCCATCTTTCTTGCTGTGCTGGGTCTTCACGGCCACACTGGCTGTGTCGAGCGAGGGCTGCTCTCGAGTTGCGGTTCCAGGGCTTCTCCCTGCAGTGGCTTTTCTTGTTGTGGAGCTTGGGCTCTGAGGCTCTCAGCCTGCAGGAGTCTCAGCTCGTGGGCTCAGCAGTCGTGGCGCGTGGCCTTAAATCGCTCCTGGGCCGGTGGGGTCTTCCCTGCACTGGCAGGCGATTTTTTGTCCTGGAGCCACCGCAGAAGTCCCAGCTGAGCCGTTACTGCTCCATCAGCCCCTCATCCGCAGCTGTCTTCCTTCCGCTCTCCCCGCCCCCCGCCCCAAGTCCCCCTTCTGACCTTGGTCTTCTTTCTGCTTCGCCGCCCGCCCCTGCAGCCATCACAGCCCTGAAGGAGGCCGTCGGCTGGAGGTACAGCATGCTCTTCGTGGGGCTCCTGCAACTGAACCTCGTGGTCTGCGGCGCGCTGCTCAGACCCATCGTCATCGTCGGCACGCCGGGGACCCCCAAGGCCCCCGCCCCCGAGCACCGGAAGGAAGCGCAGCACATGCTGGAGAGCGAGAAGACCCGCACCTCCACCGACTCCATCGACTCCGGAGTGGAGCTCACCACCTCGCCTAAGAGCGCGCCCGGCCGCCCGGCCGGCGCGGCGGAGCCCGCGGCCGGGGTGCCTGCGCGCGGCCGGCCCGGCGCCCCGCTGCTCGACTTCTCCGTGCTGGCCGAGAGGAGCTTCGTCTGCTACACGCTCTTCGGGCTCTTCGTGACCCTGGGCTTCTTCGCCCCATCGCTGTACGTCATCCCGCTGGGGCTCAGCCTCGGCCTGGACCGCGACCGCGCGGCCCTGCTGCTCTGCGCCATGGCCGTGGCGGAGGTGTGCGGCCGCGTCGGGGCGGGGCTGGTCCTCAACCGGGAGCCCATCCGCAAGGTCTACATCGAGCTCGTCTGCGTCATCCTGCTGGCCCTGTCCCTGCTCACCTTCACGTTCGCCGCGGGCTTCTGGGGTCTCCTGGCCTGCAGCGTCTTCTCGGGGGCCATGATCGGGGCCGTGGCGGGCACCCACATCCCGCTGCTCGCCGAGGACGACGTCGTGGGCGTCCAGAAGATGTCGTCGGCCGCCGGAGTCTACGTCTTCTTCCAGAGCATCTCGGGGCTGGCCGGACCCCCCCTCGCAGGTAAGCGGCGTGCACAAAGGAGCACCCTGGTGGGCTGAGCTTCCCCCCTCTTTCCCACGGTGGTTCACCCCAGGATACTGACTGCAGTTCCCTGTGCCACGCAGCAGGGCCTGGCGTCAATCCACCCCACACGTACTCCTTCGCACCTGCTGACCCCCGGTCTGTGCCGCCCCCCTTCCTCCTCGGCAGCCACGGGTCTGTCCTGAGTCCACTCCTGTTTCGCAGGTGCTTCCACCTCTGTCACAGTTGAGATTCCACATACAAGGGTCCTGTCCTGTTATGAGTCATGCCAGCTTCCCAGTCAAGTTGAATGAGAAACAGCGTCTATTGATCTTGATACTTGCAGAGAATTTTAGAGGAGTCAGGATGTATGGTATCTGAGCCACCTCTCTTGATTTACTGTGAGGAAGTGAACCCCGGGGCGTGTCAGCCTGCAGCCCGAGGGGGGATCGGCGCCCGGGTCAGGAGGGACTGGGGTCTGCAGCCCGAGGGGGGATCGGCGCCCGGGTCAGGAGGGACTGGGGTCTGCAGCCCGAGGGGGGAATCGGCGCCCGGGTCACGAGGGACTGGGGTCTGCAGCCCGAGGGGGGATCGGCGCCCGGGTCAGGAGGGACTGGGGTCTGCAGCACGAGCCGCCTCAGCATTTGCTGCTGGGTCGCCTGGTGAGACGCTTGGCGGGGGACACAGGGATTTCTGACCTCATTACACTCTGACTTTTCGGAAAACAGGACTGAGGGGCTTCTGTAGGCCAGCATCCCTTGAGGGGATGGCTTTTAGGGAACTGAACCCAGAGCAGCACTCTGCGGATACTCCACTGGTCACTTTGGAACATTTCCTAGTAGGAAGGGTGTTTTATATCTTGTGTGCTAAGTCTCTCAGTCATGTCCGACTCTTTCTGACCCCGTGGACTGTAGCCCGCCAGGCTCCTCTGTCCGTGGGATTCTCCCGGCAAGAACACTGGAGTGGGCTGCCATTCCCTCCTCCAGGGAATCTTCCCGACCCAGGGATGGAACCCAGGTCTCTTAGGTCTCCTGCATTGACAGGCGGGTTCTCTACCACTAGCGCCACCTGGGAAGCCCCGTTTTATATCTTGGACTGGAAACAAGTCCTTGAGGTTACTATGATTACACACCTTATTACCCCAGTGACCTGAGGTGGACCAGGGTAAAGATCAGAGAGCTCTTTCCTTTCAGGAGAGGATGTCAGCTTTCTTTCCAAGGAAATGAACATCTCCCTGATCGCATGTTCTAGATTCTCCACCGGGACAGACCTGCCCACAAAGCACATACAAAGTGACGGAATTCTCTCAGGTGCTGGGGGTGGGGGCTGCCGGCGTCTCCTCTACCGTCTGGAAAACTCCCCCCTTCCAAGCCTTTTTTTCTTAAAGAAGCCAGTCGGAAGCAGGAAGGCAGCGGGCGGAGGGCGCTGAGGCTGGGGGCCTGGGGCGGGGCGGGGCCTGCGTGGTGACCCCCACTGCCCCCGCAGGTCTGCTGGTGGACCAGAGCAGGACCTACAGCAGGGCCTTCTACTCCTGCGCGGCCGGGATGCTGCTGGCCGCCGCCTGCCTCGCCCTCGTGAGACCCTGCAAGCGGGGGCTGTGCCGCCGGCCCCGAGCCCAGGAGGGCACGGCCGAGGGGCCCCGCGGGAAAGTGTTGCAGGACATCCCTGAAGACTTTCTGGAGATGGACCTGGGAAAGACGGAGCACAGAGCCCCTGTGGGGACGGAGCCCGTCTGACACCCGCGCCCGCGTCCGGGGCTGGGAGGGCCTGGGGTGGGGGCCCGCACCACCCTACCGCTTCCCACTGCACTTCAAAGGGAATGGATGCGTGAGCCACTACCAACATCCTTCTTGTTTTCTTCTTGTAAGTTTTCTTTTTTGCTTGTTTTTTATGCCAAAACAAAAACGGTGGAACACCTTTCTGTACATCAGCCTGGCTGGATTCAGTAGCAACACAAAGACACACAGGAGGAGTCTGGGTCACATTCCAGCTTTAAAATAGGGACATGAATTGGCAAAGTGGTTTGAAGGGCTCTCACATTTGATAAGCTACTATCGTAGAAAATGACATCTGGCCCAGGCCACTGAAATGGAATCGGCCACTCAAAACAAAAAAACAACTTACATCATTTAAAAATTCCTCATTTTCAGAACTATGAACAAATTGTTTAAAATCCTTTGAAAAATTCTAAAAAAAAAAAAAAAAAATTCTGAGGTTTCCATTAACACATTAGGGCCTCTGAATTTTCCAGATATTCCATGGAAACAAAGTACAATTTAAGACCAAACCTTTGGCCAGTAAATGGAAATGTTTTAAAATATACGTAACTTGAACTTCAGAAATGTGAACATGACCACTTCTTTGTACGGCCAGTCATTCACCAGAAGCATTTCAATACAGAACACACAGCATGGCATTCAGAAATGAATTTCCTATTGCTTTTTAATTATTCAGAAATATGTGATTGTCGTGTCTTTAATTTAAACCACTATTTATTATTAAGTTATTCTAGAATGAATAAAGTAATCAAAAGAAAGAAAGTCTGAGACATAAGCAGAATTTTTACCTCCTTTCTGCAATCCTTGACATGCCTCTTAACTCGTAAAGTTACTCTCTAAAAGGCCAAGTTGTAAGGATTCTTCAGTTGAATGGCAATGGTGTGTGATTTAAAGGGGAGGGGGGATGAACAGCAAATCGCCTTAGCTTTTTTAAATGACTTGTTTTATCACCTTAGAATACTTGAGGATCTCATTTGATCAGAATTATATCTCATTGAATTGTTGAAACATTCGCTTTTTTACGACCTCACTGTTGCAGCGTTTCTGTGCCTCACACGGGGCAGCAGATGCGCTTGCCTCGCCACATGAGCTGCGTCCTAGAGAGCGTGGCTGCTGTGTATTGCGGGGTCTCCAGGGGAGCCGGCCGCTGGTTTTCTCGGCGTCACACTACACGGACCGCATTTCTCATGTGCACGTTTTTTTTTCTTTTGTAAAAGGGCAGGTTATGAGGGGAACAGGTGGGCTGTGTACTCATGTGTCCTGAATCTCACTCTGCAGGTGATGGTCAGAACCGCTGCCCCATCTTTACTCATTTTACTGTTCATTTTTGACAACTCAGGGGGAAAAAAAATTTAACAAGCCTAGTTTGGTTCCAGGTACACACAAGCTTGAATGTTTCCCTGCACTGAAATGAAAGTGGCATAGTTCACCACCGCCTGCTACGTTTTTGTATAGCGTTGGATCAGCCATGGAAATAGGACAATCTGTAGACTCTGGGGAGGGCAGGGAGGAGGCCGGAGTGTCCGTCAAAGACAGACACAGCTGGGACGAGGCAGGCGGGGCAGACGTCACTGCCCGGAGGGACTCGCAGCTTGTGGCACGTTTGCAGGCTTCATGACTTCAGCACTTTACTACATTTTTTACTATGAATGTTCGATACAATTTAATATTTATAACTGGTTTCAGAGCAATCTGCTCAAGACATCCATTCTGTTAAGTGCATGGGAAAAAAAAAAAAACGTATGCCAATTTCAGTATGCCAGTAATCGAGGTTTTTACATGTTTGGAAGAAATTGAAAACAGGATTGCTGATTTGTTCTGTATTCTGTGACACTCTGGTACTTCTAGATTTGCAATAAATGTATGGCTTTTTTATTTAGAGGGAGTGGTTCGTTTTCCATTGACACCTCAGCGTGCGTTGTTGGGTCCAACAAAGATTTTAAAAACTCAGGGAGGATTTGTTTAACATTCTTCAAACCTTTTCTACAAAATCTTTTAACTGTACTAGAGACACATAAATGGTTCTAAGATGTGTTTGTTGAATGTCATTATTTCATAAATGAACAACGAATGAATGAAATGATCCAGTGACCACAGAATGATAGCTAAGCCCATCAAAAGCAACAAGTGAAAACTGGGACTTCCGTGGTGGTCCAGTAGCTAAGACTCCAAGCTCCCAATGCAAGGGGCCCAGGTTCAATCCCTAGTCAGGGAAATAGATACTACATGCTGCAATTAAGAGTTTGAATGTTGGAACTAAAGATTCTGCATGCCCCAACCAAGAAGCAGTGCAACCAAATAAATATTTAAAAAAAAACCAAAACGAGTAACTGTAAATAGTTCAGACTAACCATATGTAGTTACAGAACAGGCCTAAGAACCACTCTAATCTGTCAGGAAACAGCATGACCTCTGCATGTCAGGGGTCCATGAAAACTTTCTGTTAAATTCCAGACAGGAACTACTGAAGGCTTTGCAGGCCCCACAGGCTCAGTCACAGCTACTCAGCTCTGCCTCTGCAGGGCAAGAAGAGCCACAGACAAAATGTAAATGAATGAGCATGGCTGCCTCAATAAAAGTCAATTCGTGTGAAAGAGACACGTGGACCCCAGTGTTCATCACAGCACTGTTGACAGTAACTAGGACAGAGAAGCAACCCAGATCAGCAGACGAGTGGATAAGGAAGTTGTGGTACATATACACAATGGAATACTACTCAGCTATAAAAAGGAACACATCTGAGTCAGTTCTAATGAGGTGAATGAATCTGGAGCCTATTACACAGTGAAGTCAAAGAAACACCAATACAGTGTATTAACGCAAATAGATGGAATTTAGAAAATCGGTAACAATGATCCTATTTGCGAGACAGCAAAAGAGACACAGATGTAAGGAATAGACTTTGGGACTCTGGAGGAGAAGGTAAGAGTGGGACAATTTGAGAGAATAGCAACTGAAACATGTTTATTAATTACCATATGTAAAATAGATGACCAGTGCAAGTTTGATACATGAAGCAAGGCACAACCTCTGGGACAACCTGGAGGGAAGGGGGGGGAGGTGGGAGGGGGGTTCAGGATGGGGGATATGTGCACCCATGGCAGAGTCACGTCGATGTATGGCAGAACCACCACCATATTGTTAAGTAATCATCCTCCAATTAAATAAATTTTTTTTAAAGTTAATTCATGGATCCTGGAATTTGAATTCCATAAACTTTTCACACACTATGAAATACTGTTTTTTTTTTCAACCACATAAAAATACAAAAACAATGCTTAGTTCGAAGGCTGTCGAAAAATTGGCGTGGGTTGTATCTGGCCTGTGGACCGCTCCATGGCATCTGTGACACCATCACACAGGTGCCACCGGTGGCAGACTGTAAACTAACAGTCCTGATGGGGAGACTGTGGAAACAGTGACAGATTTTATTTTATTGGATACCAAAATCACTGCATTTTGTGATTGTAGCCAGGAAATTAAAAGATGCTTACTCCTTGGAAGAAAAGCTATGACAAACCTAGACAGCATATTTGCCAGCAAAGGTCTGTATAGTCAAAGCTATGATTTTTCCAGTAGTCAATATATGGACATGAGAGTTGGACCATAAAAAAGGCTGAGCACCAAAGAATTAATGCTTTCCAATTGTGGTGCTGGAGAAGACTCTTGAGAGTCCCTTGGACCACAAGGAGATCAAACCAGTCCATCCTAAAGGAAATCAACCTTGAATATTCACTGGAAGGACTGATGCTGAAGCTAAAGCTCCAATACTTTGGCCACCTGATGTGAAAAGATACTCATTAGAAAAGACCCTGATACTGGGAAAGATTGAAGGCAGGAGGAAATGGGGACAACAGAGGATGAGACGGTTGGATGGCATGGACATGAGTTTGAGCAAACTCCAGGAGATGGTGAAGGACAGGGAAGCCTGGCGTGATACAGTCCCTGGAGTCGCAGAGTCAGACATGACACAGTGACCGAACACCACCAGTCCTGACCAGTGGGAAAAGACCACCATGGTCAAAGTGAGCCTCAAGTCACAGGTGCCAAAGGCAGGAAAGATCAAACAGCTGCCAGCCTGTCATCACGTTTCACTTCCTGTGATTAAGGCGGTCTGGCTTCCACCTTGCTGACTAGATAATTTCACTACAAATATAGACTATTTTCTTCCCCAAAATAAAGTTGATCCAGTTGTAAAAATGACTTAAGGTCATGTGCTCTTTTTTTTTTTTAGATCATGTGCTCTTTTAAGACAAATGAAATGCATCTCTGAATCAATGTTTCCAAGCTTTTAAACAAGGTTATCAATTTTCTACTCCAATAACACATAAATGTAGCATTTATGCTTTTTTAAAAACCACCAGGGAATTCCCAGCTTTTGTGCATTTATCTCCCTTTCCTTTAGCTTAAAACCTGGTGATAAAATAGAAAATGGATTCTAACTCGAAGTTCTCATTGTCCAGTCATCCATTCAAGCCACCTAGAGGTATTTATCACACCTAGACTTCTGTACTCCTTCTCAAATATTCTAAATCAGAAATGATCATGAATCTTACTTTTAAAAGCTCCCAGATATGTTCTGTTCAGGCTCTAAGTCATGTCAGAAGTCGTGTCAGATACGGCGCTCATGAGTATGCCTAGTTTAGAAGGCGTTGCCCTTAAAATTCTAAAAGGTTATGAGCATTAATTAAAACCACCAATATAAAGACAATTCCAACATGGTATATGCTAACGCTCAGTTGTGTCCGACTCTTTGCGACCCCATGGATTGTAGCCCACCAGGCTCCTCTGTCCATTGGATTCTCCAGGCAAAAATAATGGGGTGGGTTGCGTCTCCTTCTCCAGGGGATCTTCCCGACCTACAGACTGAACATGCTAAATGGTCACTCCCATGAGTATACATCGCGTTGGGAAAAAAGAACCCGTCCCGGTCTCCAGATTTATCTTTAATAGGAGCC